ATTTTGATGTTTAAAATTACTATATTATGAATAAATAATTATATAATTTAAAAAAGGTTCGGGAACTTTTTGATACTACCTTGTATATTATAAAAGTTATTTGCTGGTTAAATGTTTGTCTGAAAAACACGGCTACACCAGCCCCTCTATTTTCTTTCCAACGTTTAGGTCCCTCCATGTCATTCTCCTCATCGGAGTCTGATTTTTTAAAATAATCATTCTCTTAAGGAAGCTTATACAGAAAGTGACTGAAACGTCAGGAATAAAATAAAGCGAGAGTGCTTGATGTAGCTGTGTCTTTTCAAATTAAATAATAAATTCTTATATATTGGGAAACATATATATTCTAGCCGTAACTGGTACAATACGAGCTTATATCCCATTTCAAAGTATATATTTACATATAAATGGGATAAATATTTTTCATTCAGCCTAGTTAGAGAAAAGAAGAGAGATTGTCTAACCCAGTTAAATAAACACCCCCTAAATGCCATCAACTCTTTGTAGTGGAATTTACTCCATTGAGACGTATAATTACATTTTAGTTAAATTGAAAATATCGGAAATCTCAAGCTTTAAATTAAATTTTTTTTTTCAGATCTAATTTTGAAACCACCCCTCATACAATTCAAATATTGTGATTTGCATAGAAATCAGAAATTTGTATCTATGATATTTTGTGATTTACTTTAGATTTACTATCAGCGCAGGTTCGTTATCTAGACATATTATTTTTTTCTTATCTCTCTAATAAATATTTAAAATACATTAGAACATCTATTAAACGTCCACTCAGGGAGATGAGCTGAATAGAACAGATTTACACAGGTATATATGTAAATAGAGAATCGAAATACCTTAATTCACTCTTCATCTATGAATCATATTTCAATATTCTTTTTTATATGTGTTTCCGATATTTATGATAAAAATATGTTAATTTGAGAAGTTTATTTGAGTAAAATTAGTTTTTAATATACAATGAAAATATAAAATAAAAGGATTTAAAAGCGCGAATGTTTCTTTTATACATAAAACGAACTTCTACTGTCCTTACTTCATCCTTTGTCTCCATTGTCCTTTTTTCATCGCAGTAAGGACAGTAGAAGTTCGTTTTATGTATAAAAGAAACATTCGCGCCTTCAAATCCTTTTATTTTATATGTAAAGATGGCGGTGTATTTGCTTTGTGTTAATGAGAAATATATTTTGATGTTTTTGACCAAAATGGAAAAGGCTGATGATTGTTTTTTCGGTTTATATTTGTAGGGAAAAGGGGAATTTGTAGGGAAAATCCTTTGATTATCAATGATAAATCTTGACAAAAATCTTTTGCATTGCCAAATCAATCGTCAAATGCACCTTAATTGTGCTCCAGGACCACCTGGAGGAATATTCGAGTTTGAATATTATCCTGAGTCGATCTTCATCAGTAAGATTGATAATTTTGCCTGTTATTTTCTAATCGACAAGTTGAGGGCAAACAGAACTGTCTTCAATCGTAATGATCTTCAATGACCATATCGCCTATTATAAACTTTACATTTTTCGTACTTTTAAATTTTACTAAGAGCATAAGGTGGTAATGTCTTGTCAATGGAGCAGATCAGATTGGTTCGTGCACCCTGATCACAATACCGGCCAACCGAGGTGCCTTGTTCGTATGGATGTCCTCTTCTGGATTGATGTCTGCCATATAGAGGGCTGCAAGGATGGCCGGGAAACTGTATATATGGTCCGGAGTAAGTTGGGTATTGTAACAGTTATTGCAGTTCCTGTAAGATCTAGTCATGTCTGGGATTATCTTCATTCCTTTAAAATGTCCTGTTCTGATTCTTGTAATTGTTGTCGTTAATTCAATAACAATAATAATAAGATTTTTGAATTATAACTGCTTCCTGTGTTTTTTCTGAGTGAAAAGCAACATGATTACACATGATATTTAGTTATATTTTCGTGTCACGAGGGTTTTTAAGACAGCCACACTGGAATTGTCACAGAAATCACTCTTGTCGGGTATTACCTTTTAGCCGACTTACTCAGGAGAGGTCCTACAACAGTTTCCCAACTTGCTACTATAAGCCTACGATTCTAAGCAGCATTCCGGTTATCTTTTGGACCCCCGTAGTAAGAATTGTAGGACCAAAAGCATTTAAATCTCTAGAAAATATATGGAAAATAATTTAGGTTTTGATATAATACACTGTATAAAAAAAAAGTCGACGCACCAAGAAGGAGTTGTCAGATTAGGACAAAAATTGATGTATGTAAAGAGCATGTATAGGGGAAAAAACGATTAAAATTCAGAACAATTAATTGTTTTATTTCAGAGTTTGATCGTCACAAATTGAGAATGTCAATATGTCGTTATAGAGAACCTCTTTGTATACGTATTTTCATATAAATCGAACAACTGCTTCTTGGTGCGTCGATTTTTTTGTTATAGAGTATATATTAAACCATAATTATGGATAAAATACTTTTAAAAAATAAAAATGTCATGAATTGTATAGATCTATATGTAGATGAAACATTAGATAAATATACGTAAATTGTAGATAAATTCATATAATAAAATACATCTATCAATATGGATATCAAAATGAAATAATAATTTTAAGTTTTCCAGGAGAATATTATAACTTTAGAAACAAAAATAAATGCAAATAAAGTATGGAATGTGAAAATAAAGAAGCACATACATACATAAAATCCAGCGGGTGTAGAATCTTCTAGATATGTAAAGTTAATGAAAAAAAAAAGTAATTGTGTACATTATGGAAAAAAAACAGACAGTTTTTTTTTTCGAGCGAGAGGAGCAAAATATGTTGATGGCTACATTGATTTTATTTTCAATAATTAAAATAAAAGCACACCATTTGATAATAATAAAAACCAAAAATGTAAAATAAATAGTGTGTAACTTATTTTGAAAGTAGAAACTCTAATGGCTAAATTACACCTATGTGAATAACACTAATTTCCATTTCAAGGAGTTATAAAGATGGGCACACTCTCAAACTTTTAGTTTTATTAAATAGAATAGCAGGGGTGATGAGTTATGTGAATTATGATTATTTAACTTAATATCATTTTGATCTCACAAGCAGCGTTCATTGAAGCGTTTTTACTGCATTATTTTAATAGATATTTCAGCCTTTTGGCTTTCATCTCAAAGTGGTGCAGACTATACCTTAATAATCCTCAAGTTGATATTAAATTATTTAAAAATCTCATTGAAGACTTTTGTCGCACAGCATATGGACTACATTCAGTCAGCTATTCTACGAGAGCAAAAAACACTTTTTTTTTTTTTAAATTCGCATTTTTGACCCACTAGGTAGCTATCGTAATGGTAATGCAATGGTGAATATAGTAGTATTCCCTTTGAGTGATTGCCCAATAGGAAAGATTCTTATGGATTCTCTTGAAGAAGGTTTATAGGAAGTCGAATTAAATCAAAATACGTCGTTTTGGGGAGTTGAACAAAGTGGTCGTTCAAGGAAGTGTTCGCTCATTTGATCGGAGACTACTACTGTCCAGAAGGGTACGGTTTAAAATCTCATCGATAAAAAAAGCCGTTGGTGAACGTTATATATATAAATTGCTATATTTAATTTCTACACATAATGAGCCAAAAATACTGAGAAAGTATAATAAATATTATTCATGATTTAACACGATTTAGACAATCTAAACTGGATTCATTAGTGCGCCAACTTTTCAGACACCGCCCTAAATCGAGCGTAATTCTACTTGAGTAATTTCCAAAATTTTGCCTTCTGAATTTTATTGATTCGGAAATTTTACTTCAGTTGTATGTATTCAACTTTACTTAGATATTAACTTATTTGTATACTACTTTAATTTATTTTTATTTCTATTTGTTTTTTACCAATTCTACTTTGATGTTTTTTTACTCAATTATCTTTACAGAATTTCATTAATTTCATTATTGTGGACACGTTTTCAGATCATTTATGCTGCTTCTATTAGTTGGGATATTCTATTTAAACAGAGACAGATATGTCTGGGCTGAAATGAAAAAAAAAAAAAAAAAAAACAACAGAGGATTCAAACAAAAAAAAAACCTATAAGCCTTTTTAAAAAAAATCTTCTATATTATATTCTCAAGGAAGCTGTCAAAGGCTTGGCAGATTCCAAGATAGCGTATCAATTAACATGTGCAAATATAAAAAGCGCCATTTATCTTCATAATGAAGAAATAACGTGTTGATGATATTGTGGTCTGACTAATTAAAATTGATGGATTTCTTTGCGATTAAAAGCTGGCACCGCTGCCTCTTTTGCTTTCACTTCTTTGAAGAGCTTTACTGAAGATTTGTTTCGTTAAATATTTATTGTAGAAGATATCAAGCTTTATTTGAATATAATTAAACTTGAATTATATGAATTTTAAAGAACTAATTTAATTAATGGCTGTTATATTTTTTCAAGTAGTGGGTATATCAACAATTTTTTAAAATGTTGAGCCTTTTTGATTATTGTTAAATGACAGACATTGGATCTCTATAGAGATTTCAATTAATAAATAAAATTTTGAAATTTTCATTTTTTGGAGTAGAGGCTTTTTTATTAATTGAAATACAAAAAATTGAACCTATACAGTAGATTATTGATTTGAGAACAATTCACCAGAAAAAATCTGTTCTTGGTTTCAGTATTTTATTATTATTTTCTTTGACTTAGAGCGCAATGACCCACTAGGAAAACTTGCACTTTAAAGGTAAGCTAAACATAGAAAAAAAATAAAGAAAGATCATTTGAAATATGTGTACAAGAATTAGTATACAATTTAGTTAAATGAAAAGAGATAAAAATATCAACACAATTGAAATTTGTACAAAGAGTTAGCATGCAAATTTTGTTAAATAATATCAATTAAAATATACAAGTATCAGAGTCATCAAGCAACAATTCTTAATCAATTCTATCACCGTTTGCTTTTGTGAATGGAATAAATACCCAAATATGGCCATTTCTTATAAGCATCGGTAGTTCAATGGCGAGAATACTCGCCTGCCACGCGGGCGGCCCGGGTTCGATTCCCGGCCGAAGAATTTTTTTTTGTTTACTCATTTATTTAAGCTATATTAATTTTGAAACAACTAAATAGATTGCGAAAAAATAATTAAATCAACAACCTAAACACTAATATAATACAATTTTTGCCATTACACACTTTTTTTCCTGTAGTTTATGTGTTTCTTCTGTATTGCTATTCTATGGCACTTCTACTATTTATTAGCCGAATGACCCGGGCAACGCCCGGGTTTTACCCGATTAAATGCTTTTATTCAAATACTATTCGTTACAATTATAAATTGGCGCCGTGGATGTCATTCTTGTATAATATATAAATGAGTTTTAAAAATTGTAAAAAAAAAAAAAAATGCATCGGCCGGGAATCGAACCCGAGGCGCCCGCGTGGCAGGCGAGCATTCTACCACTGAACCAAAAGCAAACGGTGACAGAATTAAGAACGCATGACGATGATAACTGTATATTATCCGTGACAGAGGCCACGACAGACGGTCGTGACTATATATATTAATTATTGATGTACTTTCACAGTATGAAGTATACTTCACTCGGGGGATTTCTCGGGCGAAGCCGGGTCATTCTTCTAGTTTGTTTTTATTCAAGGAAACAATTCACAGATGGAAGTAAGTTTTACAGAATATCGATGATATCTGAAAGTTATTTAAAAGGTCTTGGTTTTACCAATTGGAGGCAACCACAACAGCACTTCATGTCAATATTTCTATTCACTGTATTGAAAAAATTAAACCTCCTAAACACTGGTAAAAATAATGCACGCTCTATGTTTATGTATACAAAGATTAAAAAAAACTATAAACAAACATTTTAGAGAAAGAGAGTCACAAATAAAAAATAATTTATATTAAAATATTTTAGTCTCTTAATTTTTATGTTCTCAGTTGGCTTTTATATTATAATTTTGAAAAGGAACCACACACAATCTCTTAGAACCTATTTGTTTTTTTTTTTAATCTTCCAGTTGTAACATGAAAGCTAGATCGTGTTGAGAAATAATTATAATAAAATTTTCTTATATTAAAATATACAAGTATCAGAGTCATCAAGCAACAATTCTTAATCAATTCTGTCATCGTTTGCTTTTGTGAATGGAATAAATACCCAAATATGGCCATTTCTCATAACCATCGGTGGTTCAGTGGTAGAATGCTCGCCTGCCACGCGAGCGGCCCGGGTTCGATACCCGGCCGATGCATTTTTTTTTTAATTTTTAAAACTTATTTATATCTATATATATAAAATTGAATGTCTGTCTGTCTGTTTGTCTGTCTGTTTGTTTGTACTCTATAGATTCAAAAACCATACATCCAATCGCCGTGAAATTTTTGGATATTATTAGGTATATCACCGGGAAGGTTTTTGAAAAATAATTTCATGAATATCTTGAATAACCTTAGAGTTACTTCCAGATTTGTAGATTTAACTCGCAAGCAGCACCCCCATTGTGACGATGATAACAAGTTTTCTTATCACTAAGTTTGTCATCTTAAATATTATTTATCAAAAGTAAGATTATCTCAGGATGACACGGCAATGTGACACGGGAAAAAATGTTCACTAGATAAAACTATGATTTTCTATATGATATAAAAAGCCAACAATGAAGAGTGAATGCAATATAAAAAGCCAACAATGAAGAATGAATGTAAGATAAAAAGCCAACAATGAAGAGTGAATGTAATATAAAAAGCCAACAATGAAGAATGAATGTAAGATAAAAAGCCAACAATGAAGAGTGAATATAAGATAAAAAGCCAACAATGAATAGAAAATGTAATATAAAAAGCCAACAATGAAGAATGAATGTAAGATAAAAAGCCAACAATGAAGAGTAAATATAATATAAAAAGCCAACAATGAAGAATGAATGTAAGATAAAAAACCAACAATGAAGAGTAAATATAATATAAAAAGCCAACAATGAAGAGTTAATGTAAGATAAAAAGCCAACAATGAAGAGTAAATGTAATATAAAAAGCCAACAATGAAGAATGAATGTAAGATAAAAAACCAACAATGAAGAGTAAATATAATATAAAAAGCCAACAATGAAGAGTGAATGTAAGATAAAAAGCCAACAATGAAGAGTAAATGTAATATAAAAAGCCAACAGAGTGAATGTAAGATAAAAAGCCAACAATGAAGAGTGAATGTAATATAAAAAGCCAACAATGAAGAATGAATGTAAGTTAAAAAGCCAACAATGGAGAGTAAATCTCTATATATATATATAAAAGTCAATTTCTGTCTGTCTGTCTGTTTCGCGATAAACTCAAAAACTACTGAACCAATTGGTACCATATTTTGCATTTCGCTTTTTATAAACCTGAGGAAAATTTTCGGCTGCATTCGATTAGTATTTTTGGCTATATCTTTTTTTTTTCATTTGAAGAACTTTTTTTTACGCGGACTAATCCGGAATGGAATGAATACCTAAATATGGCCATTTTTTTAACCATCGGTGGTTCAGTGGTAGAATGCTCGCCTGCCACGCGGGCGGCCCGGGTTCGATTCCCGGCCGATGTATTTTTTTTTTTTACAATTTTTAAAACTCTTTTATATTATCTTATATATATAAAATTGAATGTCTGTCTGTCTGTACTCTATAGATTCAAAAACCATACATCCAATCGCCGTGAAATTTTGGGATATTATTAGGTATATCACCGGGAAGGTTTTTGAAAAATAATTTCATGAATATCTTGAATATCCTTAGAGTTATTTGCATATTTGTAGATTTAACTCGCAAGCAGCGCCCCCATTGTGACGATGATAACAAGTTTTCTTATCACTAAGTTTGTTATCTTAAATATTATTTATCAAAAGTAAGATTATCTCAGGATGACACGGCAATTTATTTGCGACAAGAATAATGATACAATTCCAAGGCGAAGATACTATTCCTTTAACTTCCAATTACCGAGGGAACCAATTAATATTGATTTTATTCAACTTATCGAGTATTTCTCAAGGGACCGGGAAAAAATGTTCACTAGATAAAACTATGATTTTCTAATGTAGAAAATTAGGAAAGACAAAGTTCAGGATGACAAGGCACACAGGGACCGGGAAAAAATGTTCACTTTATCGAGAGATTCAAATTTACGAGTTTCAAATTATCAAAATATATCTTTTTTATTTTTTAATAAGTTTTTAGAGAATTGTTTCAACAAATGTTCGCTAGATAAACCTTTACTCAGGTAAAACCCCGGGCGAAGCCGAGTTCGTTTTATAAGTTTAAAGAGAATTGTTTTAACAAATGTTCGTTAGACAAACATTCACTCGGGTAAAACCCGGGCGAAGCCGGGCGGGTCCGCTAGTATTATATATACAAGAATGACATCCACGGCGCCAACTTATAATTTTAACGAATAGTATTTGAATAAAAACATTTAATCGGGTAAAACCGAGCGTTGCCCGAGTCATTCGGCTAGTATATAAATATAACACAATTTTAATCAGAGAAGTAATTTATAAAGCAAGGTTTTAACTGAATGCAATATATGTCATTTAAAAAGGTTGAATAAGAATAAATATCTATATGTTTAATTAGGTGTAAATAGCTTTTTTCAACTCTTGGTTGAAATATACAATCGAATATTACATTTAATATATAGAATTTGTTAAGTCACAATCCAATATTATTGTTAATTATAAAAAAGGATCTATGACTATATGCTAATTATTTACAAAGTAACTATATTTACCATATGTATTAAACTTTAAAAATATTGACGGCTTAAAAATTTAGGGTCAACATTTTTAAATAATATATACGTAAATTAAAATATAATATAAAGGCATATATTATAGATAAAAATAATTTATTTTTTATTTATTTATTGTTACAAAAAGCACGAAGTCCAAAGGACTATTGTGCTGTGCCAGTATTATTTACATATATATGATTAATTATTTATACGATGGATTAGTAGTGTTTTGTAAATTATTGTACAAATAGTTCTAAACTTAACAAAGTTATCATAAGATAGAGTATATACACAAAGAGAATTTGGTAATGTTTCAAAGTATCTACATACAATTTGATTAGTCAGAGGGCAAGTTAAAAGAAGATGCTCTGGTGATTCAACATCCAAGCGGAATTCACATGTTGGATCATTGATAACATTCAGTTTGAATAGGAAACTTAAGAAGGGTCCTTTGCCTGTTAAGAAAAAAGTAGTGAATTTATCAGAAGAAATTAAACTTGGGACAGCAATAAAATATAATATAAAGGCATATATTAGATAAAAAATATTTTATTTACTAATATATTATGTTCAATTAAAGTTTTATTTATGGATTTTTATCGACATTCTGACAGTATCAGAACGCCAGACTTTATAAGCCATGTCGAAGCTTTCATCGATGAGGACCCTGGGAAGTCGATGAGGAAACTCGCCAGAGAGCTGCAGGTTGATGAGGCTACCATCTGAAGTAGGGTTCATGAGGACCTTCTTTACAAATCATACATGATGCGGAGTGGACAGTTCATTTCCGAAAGAACCAAGGTGAACCGCTTGAAAAGCACCTTCTAAACAAGCTCGAATATCCCGAGGAGCAAGAAATTATCTGTTTTTACTCACACAAAGAGATCATCACAATGCCACACCTAAAGTTTGCCTCCCAGCTCACCAAATGTCAATCCGCTGGAATATCATGCGTGACATTATTATGTAATTCCCTGAACACTGTTGCCGCTCTCAGAGCTGTTATAATGGATGCAATGGCAAACATTCCCAAGACCCATCTCATTACTGCCTGCAGTCGGTTTCGACGGCATATAGAATATATTTTTGCCGCTGATGGCGGGTCCATTGAATGATGTCGTCCTTTAAGTATGTGTTCATCTTTATAAACTTTAATGTGTAATAAATGCTTTTTTTTACATTTGTCTATTCACCCTCCTGGACCTTGTCGGCGTCTGGCCTCTATTCAAGATAATATCCAACCTGCCTCGTCCTTTTGTGTTACCCATTGACGCCTGAGACCACTGTGG